TTAGTCAGTTCCTGTTTGTGGGGAGGCCCCAGGGACAAGGTGCACCAGCTGGCCACAGGGCCTCTGACCTTCACTCCACACTCAGCCAGGAGGCACTTCCAGGGCAAGAGCGAACCATCCCAGAGCCAGCGTCCACAATCACATCTGTCTGCTTTCAAGACCACAGTAACCATTTAGCAAGTATTACTCACCCCGTCTCAAACTGAGGAGTCAGCCAAGGGGCCAATCCCAATGCCCTCTATAAGGTCTAGGGCCCAGGATACCAAGTCATTACATGTCCCTTTACAAGTAGTAGATCCCCACATCCTCCACTAGTCTCCCCATGCCAGCCAGCCAAGGCTGTGGGATTCCTCGGACAGAGCAGAGAAGACCCCTTCCCACCTGTTGTTGTCATTGTTAGGTACCATTATGTTGTGTATGACTCAAGTGATGCTATGAACAACAGATCTGAACTCTGTCCTAACCTGTGCCATCCTCCAATCTCTGACACACTCAAGTCCATTACTGTAAGGCATCGTGTCAATCCACCTGGCTAAGGGTCTTCCTCTCCTTCACCGTCTCTCCACTTTCCCAAGCATGCTGTCCCTGTCCAAGAGAGAACCTCTCCTAGTAACATGCCCAAAGTATGTGAGACAAAGTGTCATAATCTTTGCTTCTGAGGAGCACTCTGGCTGCCCCTTCTCCAAGACTTATCAGTTTGTTCTTTTGGAAGTCCATCCACTTCTAAAATAACAGACCTTTGAAAACCCTTCCCAGTTAGAGACCCCTTTTTCTCCCCAGACACCCCTTACGCTTGATGCTGGATGCACAATTTCTTTCCCACCTCGGTACCACTCCCCAGCATTGCTGTACAGACCAGGGGCCCCATATCTCTACAAAGAGCAGTTTCCCACTTCAGAGTCTACCTCAGAGTACCCTCACCTATGCCAACCTCTTAATTGTCCTCATGCAAAACCGATACATAGACCAAGAAGCAGCTGCCCAAACAGAACAAGGGGACACTACATGGTTTAAAGTCAGGAAAAGTGTGCATCAGGACTGTCTCTTTTCTCCATATCAATTCAATTTGTATGCTGAGCAAATCATTCAAGAAGCTGGACTCTGTAAAGAAGAATGTGACATCAAGAAGAAAGAAAGAAAAAAAAAAGAAGAAAGAAAGAAAGACTCATCAACAGCCTCCATCATGAATATGATACAACCCAGCTTGCAGACAGCTAAGACAACTTGAAGCACTTACTGCAGAAAGTCAAAGACTTCAGCCTTAAGTATGGATTGAAGCTCAACCTCAAGAGAACAAAAATCCTCACCACTGGACCAACAGGCATGATAGAGAAAAGACAGAAACTATTAAATATTTCATTTTTACTTTTCCCCCTGATTACTACCCATGCCACCAGGAGTCAATATATCAAAAGATGTGTTAGATTTGGAGAAATCTGCTGTCAAGGACTCTCCAAAGTTCTAAAGAGAAAGTTTGTCAGTTTAAAGACTAAGGTGCCCTAATCTATAGTCTTTTCAATTGCTTTGGATGCATCTGAAAGTTGGACAATGTAAAAGGAAGATCAAAGAAGAATTGATGCCTTTGAAAGAAGAGTTGTTGGCGAAGAGTACTGAGTATCCCATGGGTTACCAAAAGAACAATTCATGGAATATTCAAATGTCTTGGGGAAAGTGTAATCTGGTTGTTCCTTAGAGGCAAAGATGGTGAAATGTCATCTTACATACTTTAGGAATGTTGTCAGTAGGTGCCAGTCATCATTCTTGGAAACATGATGGGTCAGGGAAAGAAAAGAAGCCCTTCAACAAGAGGGATTGGCAAAGCGTAACAGTGAACTCAAGCATGCTGGAGATCCTGAGGACGGTACAAAATACAGCAAAGTTCAGATCTGTTGTCCGTAGGATCACTGTGAGTCATAGTTGATGGCACCTAACAACATGTCAACCTGGAGGCCAACCTCCACAGACAGAATGAAGAGTAGCCCTTGCCTTGTTCCTACCGCTTTTGGCACCAAACATCACTAATGCCTGTACTCAGTCTATTACAGGGGCTGGTCTCATTTTTCCATTCCTCCGGAGACAGTACCCATGTACCTCCAGTACCCACAGTTCTCAGGAAATTATGAAATATATGCTTTGAAACATCAGCATGTCCTACTACAAAGTAGCTCCCGCCGAGCTGTCTCTACACTTACCTCTTCCCCAGAATAGTGACTATCCCTTTCCCAAGCAGTCACCATCAATTCAGGGAAGTGACCACACCACCACTGACTTAGATCTGGGCTGAATGCAGACAATACCAGAAAGATGTTTCCTTGTATTTTATTGACCATGCAAAGGCATTCTGACTATAAATCATAATAAATGATGGACAGCATTGAGAGAATGGTAATTTCAGAACATTTAATTATGCTTATATGAAACCTATACATGGATCATGAAATTCATGGATTCAAACATAATAATGCAGATTCTGCATGGCTTAAAGTCAGAAAAGGTGTCCATCAGGGTTGTATCCATTTATCATACTTATTCGGTATATTGGGCAGATAATCTCAGAAACTGGACTATTTGTAGAAAAATGTGGCATCAGGATTGGAGGAAGAATCATCAACAACCTGCTATATACTGATGACTCAATTTTGCTTGCTGAGCATGAAGATGACTTTAAGTATTTAATGAAGAAAATCAAAGACTACCTAGTCTCAACATAAAAGAAAAATCCTCACAACTGGACCAATAATCAACAGCATGATAAAGGAGGAAAGGACTGACATCAACCAAGATATCATTTTACACTAATCCAAAGTCAACACCCATGGAACAGCCATCAAGAAATCAAAGGATGTTTTACACTGGGTAAAACTGCTGTCAAAGACCCCTCCACATTGCTAAAGAGCAAGGATGTCGGTTTAAAGACTAAGGTGCACCTGCTCCAAGCCATGGTATTTCTAATTGCTTTATATGCCTGTGATAATTGAACATTAAATAAGAAGGAAATAAATAAGAAAGACCTAAAAACTGATACCTTTACTTCAGGTGCTGGAGAGGATTGTTGGATATACCAAGGGCTGACAAAGAACAAACTGATCTGTCTTGATGGAAGTAGAGCCAGAGTGTCACTTGGAGACGAGGATGATAAGACTTGTTTAATGAATTGGCGGAATGTTTTTAGCAAGGGCCAGTGTCTCTGGAAAGAGATCATGCTTGGAAAAATGGAGGACCAGTGACAGAGGAAGACAAGAAATCAAATGGATTGAAACAGCGACCACAACAATGGGCTTTAAAACAGCCGAGATTGTGAGGATGTCAGAGGATCAGCAAGGTTTCCCTCTGTTGTGTATGTGGTCATTATGAATGAGAGCTGAGTCAACGTCACCTAACAACATGCCAACTCAGAGCCCTACCTCTGCAGACAGAATCAAGAGCAACCCCTCTCATGTCCCCACAACTCTGCACCAAACACCACCAGCACCTGCACCTTAGGCTATCACAAGTGCTGGTCTCATCTTTCTATTCCTCACAAAATAGCACCCAGTTCCCACACACTCCCAGTGCTTAATACTCCACAGGAACCCGTGGTGCTCGAGAAAATAATAAAATGTCTATGTTCTGATGTACAGGCCTCCTGTTGGGTTGACTTTTACTGGGAGAAGTAACATAAGCAAGAACCAATCACTTTTAAGGACATTTCTTCCTTGGGTAGGTGTCCTCTTCCCAACAATGTCTCAAAAGAGCTCTGTCTACTTACACTTCTCAAAAGGGGACATTCCCCTCTCAAATTCCTTCTGACTCTGAGATTCAGTCATCAACACTTTCAGACAGATTCCTGGGCACTGGCTCAGAGTCACCAGAGATGGCACAGACCTAGGTTCCAAAAAGCCCTCTCTTTCTCCCTCTCTGAGCCAGCCATGAGCCCTGGATGGGTGGAGATGGAATGGGGAAAAACCACATCCTTCTCTCTTTCCCAGGAAAGAAGCCAGATGAAGGGCCACTGAGAGCAAGGCTTGAGCGAGTAGATAAGGTTTCCAGGAAGGGCAGGCAAGCATGATGGTGGCACAAGTTTAGTCTGGGTTGAATGAAACAGTGGACTGTAAGTTGTAGTTCTGTACTCAGATCCCATCAAACTCTTCACTCCCTTCCCCACAAGTCCCAACAGGCCAATGCAACCCCAAAACTCTAGGTCTTAACAGATGCCTTAACCTATACTCAACGCAGATCCCTTTTACTGCACCCCCATCCCACTTGCTGGCACGTTCTTTTTTGTTAAGTAAATGAACTGTATATAAGCCAACAACCCTTTCTAGGGTTGCAAGCACTTGCACAAAATTTCAAACGTTCCTAAAACAGGAATTGAAGACGTCCAAAGAAACAGCAGGAGCCAGCAGGTGCTAAGGGCCCCGAATGGAGCACAAGGTCTGGCTTTGAGTTCCCAGCCTGCGCCAACCTAGGAGTGTGAGCACGGCCTCGCTCTTCCCTCTCGTTTCTCATCCCGGGGGCTGGACAGTCCACCGACTGGGTTGGGCGTCCCGGTTCTCACCCCCTCCGCCCTCTCCCCAGGAACCTACCTACTCAGGAGGAGCAGGCAACCCTCATCCCTCGCGACCAAGAAGCAGTGCCACAAACCACCAGCAAAACCCGAAGCTCACGTGGAGAGGAAGTAACAAAGGCTTCCCCGCCTCTCTAAAGGGAGGCCGCCTCGCTCCTTTCCAGCCCAGGAGTGCCCAGCGCAGGGCTGGCTCCTGAGGCGGTTGGAAGCCCCTCTGGAGATGACGCGACTTCGGGGACTCAGCCCTCCCGCCCAGGGAGGGGGACTCAGGCAGACAACTGGAGGCTGTCACGGAGGGACCCACCTTGGAAGCCGAGAGCCGAGCGGTTCACAAGCGAACGTCTTTCCCGCTGAGCGAGCACCTGGCAGCCCATCCCCCGCGCTGGCTCCCACCCAGGGCTCCGCCCCGGGCCCCATCCAGGCCCTTGCTCCCAGCCTTGACTGCAGCCCTCACCTCGGCCCCCAGCCGGGCGCCCACCCCGGGCCCCATCCCGGGTTCCGCCCCGGCCCCCATCTAGACTCCCGGCTTCGACCATGGTCTCCGTCCCCCAGCACGGCTCCCAGTCCAGCACCAGCCCTGGCACCCGCTCCCCGCGCCGGCTCCCTCCCCGGTTCCCCCCGAGGCGCAGGGGGCTCAAGGCCCGGTAGAGTCGGGGTGAGGGGCTAGGCCTACAGCAGCGGCACAGAGACCGGTGGCAGGGGGGATCGGGGAGAGGAGGGAAGACGAGGGACTCTTAAAGTTAAGCTTAACTAAGACCCCTTAGGGAACTCCGGAGCGTGGGGACACAGGGACACCAGAGAGAACCATGAATTTACTCACCTCACGGGGTGGGGGGTAGGGGAGTGGCGGTGGATGTGGAGAACGAGGCGGAGGACGAGATGGAAGCAAAATAACCGAGGTGCAGCTCTGTCAACTTCCTCTACATAGGTCCTCACACCTCGACCCGCCTCGGGCCGGTCCCCCAGTGCCGGCCCCACCCCCCGGCCCGCCTCCCGCCTGCGGCTCCGAGCGACGGGGGGAGAAACTCGGGGGGAAATTCTGCCATCCACGCTCCTCCCCGAAGCGCTGCCTGAGATCAGTTCTGCTGGAGGGACCCCGATTCCAGCCTGGCGCCCGAGATGAAAGAACGGTAAGAATAGCACCCTCTGTTGTGCCTACAAAAGAGTCATCTGAGAAGGTTGACTGCTTAGTCCAGCCAAATGTTTGGGACTCTTGTGGACTTGCTTTTAGAATCTTCCCAGGCTGTTTTTGGAATGGCTTTGGGAGTGGCAAATTCCCAGTTTTCACAGAACCAGAAAGGATGAGAAATGGGAGTAAAAACATTCTGGATCACAGCATTCATCAGTCCTCGTGCTGGGAGAGGCGGCGCCTCTGCCCCAGAAGAGATTTCGCGGGACCAACAAAAATGAAACAGAAACAGGAAAGCAGGTTCCTGGAAAAAGATGAGGAAGCAAATAGGAACTTAAAAAGTCAGTTGCAGAGTGGATTGTATTTG